AAAACTACTTCACTTTAGCATTACTGGCCGCGAGTACTAAGGAGAGATCACACATCAGCTGCTCAAAAAATGTGTCAGTGAGACGAACCGAGCGGGAGCGCAATCCTGTGACAGTCACAGGCGGTAAATAGTGGCGCGCGTGAAGAAGAGATGCGAGGCACGAACACTGTTCAAGCCAAGGTCTGCATTAATTCGTGCTTGTAGTAATTTAATGTGTATATATTAATAATCTTAGTAATCGATTTAAAACGTTACAAATCGAATGGATCGCTATAGAAATCGCGATTCATTGGATTCGTAACGTTTTAAATCGATTACTGTCCGAAATCGATGGTTCACGATTCAAAATCCATGTTTCAAGATCGATGCATATGCATCGTCAGGGTTTGTAATCGATGCATCGAGAAAACGAGTGAATCGTTACACCCCTAATTGGAATGGCTGAGGGTGGAGTGAAATGTGCAGACAATCTCCATTCGATCGTTATGCGCTTTGACACCCGTTTGGGCCCCGTCTGCTCCAGCCCTCAAAATCATCCTAACGTACCACCCCAGTGCTCTTGGTTAGGAGGTTATGTTATTGTCCAGCTCTCAAGTCTGTGGAAATATGTTATGCTGTTTCTAAGAAGGCACTATTTTGGTGAAAAAGGGGAAAGCGGCTCTCATGGCATGGTTCCGAGGTCACTTTAATATGCAAAAACACTGCCAAGATACAGCGCCATTTGTCTTCACAGCAGACTTCATTAGTGAATTAGCTTGGAACATTGGGCTATAGAAATCTAAAGGGATCACTCTCACGACATGTCTACTATAATTAGTCACGTTATTTCAATTTTTAATGAGATTTCTTGGCCAGTAGGTGGCATTGTCCTCAAACTGTTCAGGTAGCTTTCGAGTAAGATGGCAATTACATATACCAAGTATAATTTCAATATGCTAAAGCACTGTTAAGCACAGCTTTGCTTCTTGTTAACAAAAGGTCATTTCTGAGGTTTTGAAAACCTAAAATTTGGTAACTTCTTCTATATTTGCACTAAAGAACATTTTGTGAAATTTTTTTTTTTTTAAATCCAAGGAATCACCGCAAAACAGAATCTAACCGAATTTAAACCGAATATGCCAAATTTTAAAATCTGTTTTAATTAATTTTTAAAACAGATTTAAAGGGACAGTTTACTCAAATATGAAAATTCTGTCACCACTTACTCACTTCAAATTCAGTGGGGTCCAAAACCATGCTGGACACCACTGACTTCCACTGAATCAACAAATTGCATTTTTTTTTATATATATCTTTAAATGTCTAGTTCCACAGAGTTTTCATTTTTGCGAGAACAATCCCACGAAGAAAATTGCAGTGATGCCATCACTTTCTTTCCCTATATGTTTACAATACATTTTGTATTTTAAAGTTGAAAATATTCCACGTGATCTGGCTGGACAGTGAATTTATCAAATTGCGCTCAAAGCCATTGTAAAATACTTTATAAACACACACCTGTGACCTCATTACATCAGTATTACTGCTATGTGTGTTGCTTGGCAATAGCTGAAAAACAACTTAGCTTTGATTTAAAGAAATATTCCAGGTTCAATATAAAATTTTGACAATGTTGACCACAGAAAAAATACATTTCTTTTTTTTGTCCTTTTTAATTTTTTTTGTTTTTGTTTTATGTGTGTGTGAGAGAGATTAACAGGTTTATATGTATATGAAAGTTGTGTATTTCAAAATAGTATGAATTTTAATGTTTACTTTTACAACCACAAATTGTTAAAAATCTATTGTCAAAAACATATTTTCTGTGGTGATTGACAAAAATTGTATTTACCCAGAGCACTCAATCAGTGATGCTCCATGCAGTAGGGCTGTGTATCACCAGCAAAGTCACGATACGATATGTATCACGATACAGAGGCCACGATGCGATACGTATCACGATACATGACTGCACTGAATTTCACCTCAGCAGAATTTAGAAAAACAGCTGTTTATTAAACACTGCTTACTATAGTGCCATTTCTAACTATTGGCA